GGCAGGACTACGGCATAGTTGGACATGTTGCACATGACAAGCGTAAAACTTTTCAAGTGCTGCAAGGAGGAGGCGGCAGCGGCGGCGTGCGGAATAAAACGAAGGCGTGGCACTTGGGTAATCAAGCACGACAGCAGCTGCCATTAAGTTGAGGTAAAGCGAAAGCTGGAATAAAGGATCCTACCATTATTTGGGCACCGCCGGAAAGGGAAGACGGTGAAATGGGGTAGAGGCAAAAAACGAGTTTTAATTAAAATGCCAGGCATACTTTAAGGCACGTTTTGTGCTTTATGTCTTCGAGGTACTTCAGCCTGCGAAGAGAGCGACGCCATGCGACGACATCGGGACGCAAAAGAACGGCATGAAAATCGATTAATGTGATATTTGAGAAATATTTTGGAGGCCTGTTTCCAGGAGCCTCACTTTGATTTGCACAATTTGCAAATATTTCGTTCTCATAAAAGCGCTTATCTTTAGTACTACTGTACTGTACTACTTAAAGACTAAATATCATGTTAAATATTCAAGGGAATTAAAAAAAATAATAGTTTAAGCCTCTGTTTGCCAATTTCTTGTAACCCCAAGAGGCCAAAGATTGTTCCCTACCAAAAATAACTACTGTTAGCTAACAACTATTTAACCCCCGTGTAAACAATTAAATTCCGCTGACAGACAATAGCTATTTGCTGACAATTTCCAATATCAGGCTTCTATCAACTTGATCCCATAATTTTCAATGTGTTTACGCGATATATATGTACATATATCATAAGCCATGGCACAACGAATGGCAACAAATTGCATATTTGGCAATAATTAATATTTGAGTGCAGCTTGCGCTAATTCAAATGCATTTTGTTGCACTCGCGGCGAGCATTTCGATTCCACACCGCACACAGCAATAACAATAATAACTTAGTTTGGCTAAAAGCCTGTGCAAACGCTAATTGAGTTGGCTCTGCTCTGCTGGGAAATTGGCGGTAGGATTTTCCGGCCAAATTGATGTGCGTAAAGCTGCGCATTTTTGGAAAGCGCGAGGCTTTATCCAACTTTTGGCTAGTTTTCTATGTGCGAGAGAGTGCGTAAAATGCCAAACTGCTGACTCCAAATTTGTCACGCGCAATCAGCGCGGCGGCTCTGGTAAGTGCTGACCGGCCACGCCCACGAGATCCACTGTGCCCACACGTCTGTGGATTATGCATGGGGTCCGGCGCGCACACACGGTTAGCTGCTAAATCCGCACTCAACATTTTCAAGGCTTCCCCCTTCGCCGCCTCGTCACCAATAATGAAAAGTCTATGGTCCGCTTTTAGTGGCCGCGTTGACAGCTGCCAAAAACATTTCTATGGCTCTCTCTATATATGACGCTCCAGAGCCGCCATAAGCCATGCATTTAATTAAGCCGCCCCAAAAATATTTAATTGCCAACTAAGGCCGGCGTGGAGGCCGTTCGCGAATAAAGTTTATAGGAGGCTAGAAGGTGGAAAATAAAGGGTACTGAGGCTTTAAGTGTCTAAAGTTGGCTAAGGGAAAAGGTAGTGAAAGCTGGTTTGGTTTTGTATTAAATTAGTTTTGAATTTAAATAAAGAATTGTATTAAAGTTTGTATTAAAGTTTCATATGTAACTTTAAAAGCTGAAACTTCTGAAGAATAATTATTGATGAACAAATTGTAAGCACAAAATCTTTTGCCAATATCAAGTGGAGCCAGCCTTCGATATTTTGTAAAATTCCCATTATCGTTGCTGTTATTTATCGCTAAACATAATTTATAACTTATAAATTATTTTTTGACTATTATCAAACTAACCATTAATCCTGAATAAGTAAGTTATTCTATTTCCCCTTAAATAATTCTCTTTTCATTAAAGCCAAAACTCATTTCGCATCACTGCAAATTAATATTTTTAATCAAACTGTCAATTAACCCGGATGTTAATCAAGTTTTCGCACTTGACCGTTAAATGACAGCTGAAATGAACTATCAATTGGAAAATCAACAGGCGGCGGCAACACAGTCCTGTCTGGGACACCACCATTCCGACTGTCATGTGTCTAGCTAAAATTAAAATTAATTAATGCCATTCAGGGTAGCCAAGCGATATCGGGTCGCTTGTGCAAGCAATTATCGTATGGCGATTTTAATTGATTTTAAAACCGAAAAATTCACAAAATCTGCCAAACATTGATTGGGTTGGCCAACATGTGTTGCCGTTGGAAAAAACTCGTCAGAATGTCAGATAAAAAATACAACGATAGAGATCAATGCGAGAGAAATTTGATACTAGCAAAAAATCTCGTATGTTGTTTGTATATCCTTCACATTAACGAGGGTCACGAGCATGTCCTGGAATTGTGCACGGAAATCCAAAGGATATTTGTCTAAATAAAATTGGTTACATATTTGCGCGTGTGTGAGTTTTTTTTAAACAATTTCTGGGAAATGGGAAAGTATTATTTTCAACAGCAACAAGTGGTGCATAAAAATGATAATTTTGCTAGAATTATGGTTGGAAATAATTACCAGAGATAGCAATTATTTTAAACTGTGTATAAGCTAAACTATCGGCCAATTTATATTAATAGTTAATAATTGTTTGTGGCAAGAAATATAAAATACATAACTTCTAAAAATTGTATGTAAATAAATATTATAAATAAATAAATACATAAAAATAATTACCCTAAATCAAGCCAAGACGATGACTTAATTTCCCGGCTTCACCATTTTAAAGAGATGATCCCTTTTTAGCATTAAGTATACGCCCCGTGACAAGTCTTTTATAATTTAAGTTTCGCCGGGACTAGCTAAGCGGCTAGCAAATATTACCTGTTCCGGTTAGTAATGTCCTTCACCGCACACCATATGCACCCCACATACACACACTATACTCCACTTACCGGCCTCGAACACGTGGTCTCCTTGTCGAGGCACGTGTGTACATTTTTAATTATGCGAGCGCACACAGAGCGCGCCGAGGAGCGTGAATGTCGGGCCAACTAACTTATTAAAAAGCACTCGCCCGGCAAAGCATATATTTGCCGAATAAAGCGAAAATTAAGGCAAACTATATACACCTTTTCCCTTTCGTTTTTCTTCTATTTTTTCCGCAATTCCCCACTACCCTGTCCCAGCTCTTAGCTGACCATCTGGTGGGAGGCCCTAGGAGTTACTCAAGCAAATTTTTCCCGCAGGCAGGCAATTTGCATAACCGTAGGCATAGATAGGCTGTTGCTTTGGCATCGTATTGTATTCCACTAAGAGCCAGGCCAGAGTCGAGTAATAATAGAGAAATGTTGGGAAAACCCCACGAAATCCCCAAGTAATCCGGCTTACTTACTGACTCTGACTGATGATAACCTAAAAGTGTGCAAAGCCCAAGAAGTTGCACAAGGCGGCGTCCAAGAACCAGCGAATAAATGAAACAAAAAAAAAATCCGGAGTAGATAGAATTGTTTGTGAACTACTCGTAAAATTGTAACTTTCATAACTGAGTTGGAAATTGCTTAATTTGACGGTGGTAGAAACTGAAAAATAAGGCTGTACTCGAAGTTGGGATACCCTAAAAAGACTTAAATAGAAGATGGACATATATAATATGAATGAATATATTTCTGCTTATTCGACAATATATATTTAATATTATATTATCTCTTCATTTTATTATAAAAGGTTTAAACATATGCGTCTTATTGCACAAATGAGGTATATTAATTATTGTTGAATAAACATAGTTTATAGGGCAGGAATGATAAATACAAATTACGAATAAACACCAATAGAAAGTTTACCCTTAAGATTAAAAATACACAAGGTAAAATACTTAATATTTCTTGAAAAATATATAAATAAAAAATATAATGTCTTGAATTATAAAAAAATGATTTCTTTCCAGAAAACCTTTACATATTTTTGCATTGCATTCAGTTAGTTTTATATTTTCCCCTTAAATACTTTTCCTTTAGAAACCTCACTATTTCTTCTGTCTTTTATGGAATCGGCATGCCTTTAATACCGCTCAATCAAACCCAGACTCCCGGAACTGGCCCACCATAAATCTTATGACCGAAAAAAAAGAGGAAGGAGGACTCTCGGGCTGGCCAAAAATTATTACATGCCTCATTTGCCAGCGCCTTGAAGAGTCTGCTTATTATATTTTGATTATTTTTGGCACGCGTGTTTCGCAGGACCAAAAGGACTTTGCCGCGTTCCCATTTCCGTTCCCCGAGTGCTGTAAACAAATTCGTATGGACGCAGACCAGTCCGGTGGTGGTCAAGGGGCAATCTTGGTGGCTCATCAGTCGGGATTGGCGGAAAGCTGGGAGATAAACAGGCCAGCTGGATCTCCAGTCTGGTTTCCTTCCTCTTTTTTCACTCTCCCTCTTTCGGTTGCATAATTTTTTCATTTTATTTTGGACTCGTTTTGGCCCGCTTTTGTCCATAATGAGATATCTCTATTCTCCTTTGTTTCTTTTCATCATTTTTGCGCCGCACTCCGTCCATTGTGTTTGGTGTGCGTGTGTGTATGTGTTTGTTGTTTTTGCATTTCGCGAAATGCCGCTGGGAAATTCGTGTAACAAGAGGACCAAAAAGAAAAGAGGAAAATCTACTGGGCTCAAACAGCAATGATGGCGTCGAGGTGGTCTTATTAATTAGGACACGCGCCCTGAGTTATATTTTTTCCCCTAATATTCATGTATATATATACACATGAAGCACCGCGGAAGGGACAGCCTTATTTTTTGTTATTTAAATTCGCAGTAATTTTTTGCAGGCCAGCTCCACTTGATTGCCAAATGTAATTTGCATGAGAATGCCTCTGCAAAAAACTACAAAGAAAATATATATATAGTATATATAAGAGGGTCTCACCAGCGAAATGTCAATTCCAACGAAAGAACATCATTTTCAGGACAATAAAAGCGGAGTTCTAAAAAGAGACATTTATCTTTGTTAAAGAAAAATTATATATTTCAGAATATTGTGAAACAAGTTTGCCTCAGAGCTTAGCAATCCTTAGGTCAGATGTCGTTTCGATCATCTCCTAGGTTCTACTCGTAATTCAGTTCTAAGAACATAGCTAGAAACAATTCGAAATTAAGATACAAATTCCAGACCTCTCACTGAAAACACTTTGTATCAAAGACCACTGCCAAGCCATGTCCCGAGGAATGGCCATGGGCTTTGCCCGGTTGATCAATCCGGGCGTTGTGCTTCATCCGGAGTTGCAGCAGAAAATAGCCGTTTTCGAGGCCATGGGAGCAGAACGATCGCAGCTGGAAAGCGATCTGGGACGACTTCGTCGAAAGCAAGAAGAAACCGAGGACAACCTGGCCGATGCATTGGCCGAAGACGAGTTTCAGTGCAACCTGCACGGCCAGGAGTACACGGGTCCCGGCGAGGAAGAGCTGCAGGACATACTCAAGAGGCACCTGGGCGGCATCATCGAAAAGCTGGCTGCCAAGTACGAACGCATTATCTACCTGGATGGCGACATCAGGAAGCTGAAGGGCACCATCGAGAAGGCTATTGCGGTGGCCAATGAGGAGTCGGCTGCCGCGGCCTCTCAGTAATGTGATTTTTTCCGCCATTTCACTTTTGTCCTTTTAAATGTTCATTCAATTTAAGTTATGGTTCTCATAGAAAATGCTTCATCGGCTGGCAAGTGAGTGTTAAATTTCCTAAGAATTCTATATATTCAAATACTTTCCGCAGAAAACTAAACTCGCAGAAGACTTAAAAAGGAAAGGGTCAAAAGGAATAAGTCCTTATGTATTTTCAAATATTTAAATGTATTGTAAATGCTATAAACCCAGCATTGTTTTACCAGCAGAAGTAAAATAAAGAAAGCTTAAAGAAGCCAAAATGTTAGGTATTTTAAATAGTTTTAAATGCACTCCCTGTACTTTATTTAAAACCGCAACAATCTCATTTCCTGCCATTTTTCACACACTGTCAAGCAAGACTTTGCAAATTTAATTGCGTATACGCACTGTGGCCGCAAAGAGTTCGGGCTTGCTGCAGATGCGCTCTGCTGACTCTATCGCTAAGTGCATAAATTCAATATTACCAAGTGTCTGGCTTGGTAAAAGATATAGCCTGGCCAGAGATCAATATGGGAATTTATTGAATTTTATGTGGCCGGAAAAGTCTGCACTTGAGAACCTTATCAATTCACAAATTAATATATGGAATGTTATAAATATATAAAGAATAATTTCATTTTCAAAACCATGTTCCATTTTAATTGCAAAAATAAACCACAAAATAAAGAACATTTAAATACAGACTATACACAAGAAATTTACCTATTTGCTGTTACTTTGCCTTGTTTAAGCATTTATAGCCCGAGGTTTTCAGGAAGCAGACGAGATTTATTTGAACAAAGGCAATCCATTTGGCTCTCCTACTCCTTTACTCTAATTAATTAAATTGGAATGTGTTCCCCCTGTATTTTGTTTTAGTAGTAACCAAGCCAGGTCTCCCCTGGGCAAACAAGCTCAATGCAAATTTTCCAACCAGACACGGGGCTTAACGAGAGCATTTGCATGAAGTCAATCATCTCGACTGCTGGTCAGTGAACCGAGAATAAGACACTTTGTGTCTGTGCCTTGAAATCACTTCACTTTATCTCAGCAACTCGGTGACTCCTCTGATTGCCTTTCATCCCATTCAGTTGGAAAATTCGCACTAACAAAGCATTATCTATAAAATATTCGCAGAGAACCAAAAAGGAACGAAAGAAATGCTGTGAAAATTATTGATGCTGTGAAAATCCACGTGAATGGAAAATCCGAAAAGGTAACAACGAATTTTGATTTCATTTAATTTTAAGATAAAAAACAAAATTCACTGAAATGTTTCCCACGTTCTAATCGTTTTTTAACCAGTCTTAAGCTCATCAATTACAATTCCTACAACTTTAAAAAGTTTAATCAGCATTTTTTCGAAGGTCATCTGTGGACGTTGCCTCGTTTGTCTTCATTATGATAAATTGCCGATGCGAACATATTTCATCTAAGCGCTGAAATTCAGAACGAGGCGATAATGAGATGTTATTAATATCAACTTGCGACTTATTTAGTGACAAAACTCCTTTGGGTTCCACAGGCAAATAAAGTGGCGGCGAAGAGCATAAGAAAATGTTTAGACCCCTCGGAAAACCCTTCGAAAAAAAGTGAGAATAAGCCGCCTCTCGTTGAGGAGCTTTCAGAAGTGTCAAGAAAACAAATGACGGTCAGTTTTTTTCCACACTGTTGTTCTGTTGTGTGTTCCTAAGCCAACCTTGAGTCAACGGAAGACTGGGCAAGTGTTAAACTTTCTTTTCTTCTAACGTCAACGTTGCCCTTTTTCCTGAAGCCTTATATCCCTGGGTTCGTTTGTAACTTGAGAACATAAAAGGGACTTTCGGGCTGTCAAAAAAGAATATATCAAAATGAGGTTTATGACGAAAAATAAGTATCCTGTTTTCGGATATTGTTTTTAATTGCCCAGCAACAGACCGAAAGGGTACTTATCATATAGTATTCTTTGTTTCCTAATCAGCTAATAATGTTACTTATTTAAATATCTCATACCAAGTATATTTGTTGGGGCAATTTTCTTTCAATTTGCTGGCCAAACAGAAATAGCCAAGGCATAAAATACGGCCAGAACGATAAGGTTCCTTGATAAGGAAATTTGTGTGCCAAGTCGTAACAACAATGGGGAAAAGAACCCTCGGGAACACAACACAACAGCCGTCACACACATAAATCAAATAAATGACAACCAAAAAATGTGGGCCCAATAAAAAACTAAGCAAACAACAAATATTAGTAGTAGAAATAGTGAACGGAAGGAAGCATTTGCAAATGCCTCTAATCCAAGTGCGACACGGGATCTGAAGTAAGCAGGGAGAAAAAAATCATTGGGTAAACTACTATTTGATGTCCTACATCTTAAAGAGTTATATTTACGCAAAAATCCTATATAATTTAATTTTCTATATATTTTTTCCCTCTTTAAATTAAGCCTTAACTTATGTTACCCATCAGAGAGAGGGAAAAGTAATCGCATGGGAATTTCCATTAAACAAAATTATGGGCAATTACATGTGCCAGTAACTGAATGATAATGTGCCTACGGAGACCTTCTTCGAATCCGATTTAGCCCGGCCAAGCATATTGAATTCCACTTTGCTAATTTGCGTAATTGCGCAGCACACCCATCATGCCATCGTGCCATATCCTGCCATCATGCCATCCTGCAGTATGCGGATGCAATAAGACGGCTTTAAGTAGACAACACATCCACAAAGTGCCTTAAATTGCTCGCATTATCTATGCACTTCCGAGTAATAATTGAAGACTCACTAAATGTGATAGCTTGCAGTTGTACATAATTTATGCAAATACTTAGTTAACTTAGTTTAGGGATTTAAAATAAAATATATAATTAAGTAGGTAGAGTTAAGGCGTTAAGGCTGCTCCTTCTGGCTTACCTTAATTTTACCCCTCAACTTATATTTTTACTTCTTCCAAACACTCTCTAAGTAACATATTCAATTGAATGTGCCTTTTCGAATCCAATTTCCAGCTTCATATGGATCTGAGTTGCACACCTGCAGCTGATGCCAGCTGAAGACCATTTTGTGGCTGCTTGGATATCGTTAATGGCTTAATACGAGCCGCAGCTGCTGCATCTGTGGCAACAGAGTCTTCTGGCCCTAGGGCCATTTAGTCCTGCGAACCCTCTACTTGATAACAACCCCACCCCCAGGGTCAAGTGGCAACTGACAAGTGCAAGGCTGGCAGGTGGCAATTTCCTGAAATTTGCAGGTGACAGGCGACGGGCGACAGGCGACGTGACCAGCAACAAGTGGGTTCTGGCCTGGTCTGCGGCCAGAGAGCGTCAGATCATTGCGGATAATTAAATATTTTATGCAGCTCGCGGAATGCGACGAGTATCCTTAACACTACATAAATGTTATGAACGTGGCGGCGTAAAAATTAAGTCATAATGCGATTTGTGGCAATCATAAAAATGGCAACGGCAACGGCAACGGCAGCGGCAACTACATTGTGTGCGTTATTCGTTAGCTGTGCGTTCAGGGGTCAAAATCGCTTCTTGTCCCATAAAAAGAGGCGATTGCGAGTGGGAGTGCGATTGCCGGGCGTCGTAAATCGACACTTCGAGTGGTGGTAATAGGGATCATAAAGTGCGACAACAAAATAATCAATTTGTTGCCCAAAAAAAAAGAATGTTTAATAAATTGCAACTAAGCCTGGCTCTGGCCTGTCCTGCCCTGCTGCTGGTTCCTGGGGGCCCACGTGTCGTATGCGTCATTTGCTAAGAGTTGTGAAATTAACACGCATACGACGGCACTTAATTTGTCACTAAATGGCTTCGCCCAAGCTGCCAGTGGGTGTGTGGCATGGCTGGCAGGAAAAGAAGAAGGCCAATAGCCATGTGGCAAAAAAAGGGAGGGCACTGGAAAAAAGAAGGGTATTGGAAACAAGACAAATCACTGAGATTCAAGAGGGTTAGTGGAAAGTATTTTATCTAAAATGGAAAGTAATTAATTTAAAATTCAGAAAAACTATTAAGAGAAGGTTGAAAATCTATAACATAACCAAGTATTGCCACTAAATAATGTCTTCTTTTATATTTGTACTATTTTGTATAACTTTTTCTTAGCCAAAACATACAAGAATATTAATAAAAAAATATTTTATTTTTAATTAGTATATTTCTTAAATAAAATATAGACCTATTGATATAAAACTAAGGAAAATTATTAAGAAATGGTTGAAAGTATTAGGATTAGCCACTAATTAATATCTCCCCTTATACCTTTACTACATATTTCTTATTACTATTTCTGAAATTTATATTTCTTCTTTTATTTCTGGAGTTTCTTTCTGTGCAAACCAAGCAACACGTTGTGTAGCTTAAATTGAAAATTACAAAAAGCGATACAAACAAGCACGCAACACAAGGCGCCGAGCAGAGTGGAGTTTCTTCAAGAATGCCACCACGTTGGCCCCCGGAGGAACCACAAAGACGCGTGATGTGCGGACATCCGCTGGCGTAGTAAACGGGAATATGGCAGCCAGGGGAGGGGCGTAGGGGTCTGGGGTCCGATGAGGGCGTGGCTCAGGCGACGCATATGAAAATTTTGCACGACAATTTATTGCCATGCTTAAGGAGCGTGCGTATGAAATAATATACAAAGCGGGAGAAGGACCAACAGCCAGCAAGGACATGTTCCTGTTCCTGCCGCAACAGCAGCCCAGTCACCACAAGCTGTGTTTGTCGCTGCTGATGCTGAATTTTAAAATGTTCTTTAAACAATGTTCCTCCCCAGAACTGATGGCAGCGATTTGTTCAATGTTGACAATGTTGTTAGGGGAGGCGGGACACACTGTCTCCCCAGCGAGTGGCTACTTAAAGCTTATTTGCGGCTTAAAGCTATCTAATGGCCAAGTGCGGGATGAGTGATGAGTGCACTCTAGTTGAAATATGTTTAATGCTTCTCAATTAATTAGGGGAAATGAATTGAATTTAATAATCTTACCAAGGTAAATTAATATTTATTGGCTTAGACAAGGGAAATTAAGATAGCAGCTGAGATTAATGGAGTTTCAGAATATTTATAGCGTAGAGATCATAAAGAATATCTTTGGAAGTTAACTAAAAAATTCAAAAAGTGTTCTTTATAAAACCCTTATTGATTTCAGAGAGGTTCTTTAACATTTTTATTGACAAGTTTGTGATATTGTCTTGTCCTTTTATCTACAGGAAATGCTTTTAAAATGCCCCTTTCACCTCATTGCATTCAAGCTACAAAAAAATATATAAAAAGGTTATGGGGAAAG